CATTCAAAAGTGTATGAATTAGTGATTCTCAAGGTTTTTTTGCGGGGGGTGTGTGTGGTGATATTTGCTCAGAGTTAGTGCAATGTTGAAATGCTGGGGGCAGTTTATGAACATTTCTCCCCCTATAAAATGCACCTCACTTGCTGAAATTTCAAGGGGGAATATCACCCCAACCCCCCAAGAAGAAGGGGGTTCTGTGAAGCGTATGCTGGCATCCTCTGACACACTTTAATATGAGAAATCTTTAGCATTCAGGCAGCAGCCCATATTGGTTGTGGCTCCGGCATCATTTTTGTTTTGCGGAAAATGTGTTTTTTTCTGGGTAGCAGTAACATTATCACACAGTTACTCCTGTTGGTTATATGATGATGTCATTGAGGACAAACAAAGCCAGTTCAGAGTGAGGGTATTGCCTACTCAGGAAGGATGGCCCTCACTCTGAACAGGCTCCATTTTACTGTCTATCCCATGATAAAATCTATTTCGCTTCATGATATTAGTGTTACTATGCAGATTTTTTAAATTAAAAAATAACATGCAGAAGCTACAGTCAATGGGTTTGCAATCACAGAGTTAACTTACAAAATCTGCTTGCAGGAGAAATAGTGACAGTCACTACTTATGGGCTGTACAGATGCATCAGGTCAGGCACTGAGAGAGACAGCATGTTGGACTAGATAGGTCTTTGATCTGTGACCCAACAAGGCTTTTCTCCTATTGATATGCAAGGTTATAGGGTCTTTTCTAAGAAAGGGGGAAATCCACTTCCCCTAAATCTTCTTTTTCACATTGAATTCACTAGATAACATTCACTTCAGCCCCATTAATTATATTACTGTGGAATAAGATATGCTGAAATATTTGTGGTAAAAGTGCCAGCCTTTGATTTAATAGCACTGAATGCTGGGTAATCCAATATTAATTGTTCTTAATCAGGGCAATATTGTGCAGGATGACCTTTTGAAGTATTCCACCTATGGCATTAGATACCATAATGTATCCTTGGCTTTTGAATAATGTCCAATATTTAACATTATTTCGACAAACGGCTGGTTCAAGGGTTGCACAGAGCATTTAAAACTTCACAATAAGCAGAGAAAGAGAGGCTCTTTTTGAATTCTTTTTCTTTAATAGAAAGAAATTGGTGGAGCCAATGGACTTTGGTAGTGCCAATAACATTTGGCAGGCAGGAATTTTCCACTTTCAAGCTGGGCAGTAATTGGACAATTATTGGATAATGGATATGTTGCTGGGCATGTAAATAAAATAACCTGTGCATAGAGTCATATTTTACCTGGATAGTCAAACTGCAAAAAACAACACTGTGCATCCAGATTTCTGGTATGCTAATGATATATGCAAATTTCTACTTACACAATTTTGTTTGCAATTTCTCCTAATACGCACATTTTTGCAAATCAACGTTCCCTTATATAATTCATTTTTGCATATTATTTTCACCAACAATTGTGTTTTTATACAAACATTAGCCATGTATATGCATTTTTGTACATATTATTTGACTGGAAGGCTGCATTTCAAAATTCAGAGACGTGTAAATGTTCAAAGGGGGCTCTGTTTAAGTTCTGCTTGATCTGGTGCTATTGAGGCCGGGGCTATGAGGGGTGGGGCATGCACATCAGATCCCAAATACCCAATGCCCCCTAATATTGGGAGCTGGAAATCCTATGTTCTCATAACTCACTTGAATGTGATGGAGCCAAGCTAGGGTGGCTTTCCCCAGGGTGGTAGACTCTTCAGCTCTGAAAAAAATATTCAGACGTTAGGGGAAAAACTAGATTTTTGTTATTTTATTTTCATTTCCCCGCTTTACAAAGACACCAGAGTTGCCATGCTGTACACATTCCCCCCCAGTCCTATGTAACTTGCAATTCTCTGTTGTTATTTTACCTTTCTGTCAGTCACACTCTGCCTTCATTCAATTAATTTTTCCTTCATTAGAATTCGAGATGCCGTTTTCAGGTGGAAGACGATTCAGAGAAAGCTGTTAGAAGCTGACAAAAAAGGGGAATGAGATTGGTATTACTAGTGAAGCAAAGAAGATGCAGGAGAATTTGGAGTGGCAACCAAATAAGATTCTTCTTAATTTATCTAGACACCCCAATCAGAACGGTTCCTCATTTTGTTGGGTAAAGGCAGAAACAAAGATGTTAATCTGTACTTCTCAAGTACTGCCTTGATAAGGACTTGTTTTATCTAAAGAAAATCAAAGCCAGTTTAACCCAACAAGGCAATTTAGATACTTGCTATAATTCCAGTCATCTTCAAAAACAGTAAATGGGTTCAAGTATATTGACAGTGGAATTCCATAACTTCACCCCTGCCCCTTAACAATTGAGAACCATTAATCTAGCAAATTCTGGGAGTTAACATCACCCTGAAGAATTCCAGTAAGAAATAGAGACAAATGTAGTAGCGGGGGTAGTCAACGTGGAGCCCACCAGACGTTGAAGACAGCACACAAAATGGTCACATGTGATGGGAGATAGAGTCCACAATTTGGAGGGTAAGACATTGGCTAGCCCTCTGATACGGCAATTACAAGACACAAAGAGGGATGCAGATATCTGTCTAATTGAGAGCCATGACACGTTCACTCATGCTTTCTCATAAATATGGTGCATCCTACTTCTGCATTAATCTGTGTCTTATTCTTTTTAATCTCCATGCAAATTAACAGTTAAAAGTATATATTTTTTTAACAATGCAATCTTATACATGCCTACTCAGAAGTAAGCTTTATTTCTTACGGAGAAAAAAGCCTTCAATGGCTACTAGCCATATTCCACTTCCACTGTCAGAGCCAATATGCCTCTGAATACTGGTTTCTGAGAATCACAGCGGTGCAGAATACTGTTGTACTCACATCTTACTTGTGGGCATCTCACAGGCATTTGGTTGGCCACTGTGAGAATAGGATGATGGACTAAAGGGCTCATTGGCCTAATTCAGCAGGCTATTCCTATGTTCATAGTGTTATGAGTTGGGGGACAGTCTAAATAGTACCCTGGGTCCCTCCCAGGCCTGGTCAGAATCTAGTAAAAGAGGCTGTGGAACCAGCCCAATCAGTTTCTTTGTTAAGGTAATGTCTTTGGCTGACTAGACGCGTACCCATAATCTGCATCTCAAATAACGAGCTCTATTGCCATAGAGACAAATGGGTGGGCCTTTTCCAACTTCACCTGGTTGGATGGCACATCATTCTTAGATAGAGAACAATAGGCTGTGCATGAGAGCTGTTTTTCAGTGGTACTGATGCTGGAAGCTGAAGACACAGGAATGTCCGCTTTGTGGTGGCTTCAAAGCTAGACTTCATTGAAATCTTAAAGAGGAAGCAAGATATGTTGAGGTGTTAATGCTGTGAGCCCCTCCATTCTATACACAACTTGCATATATCTGTAAATAAAACCATATGTCCAAAAGACAACACAGTCTCCACTGACCTTTATTCCAATGAAACTCAAGCCTGGGATAAACACAGGATTCCCTGAAGTCTCTCACTGCTCAGTGATTGGGATTGTACTTAACAATATATTCTTAAAAACCCTGTTGAATCAGACAAAAGGCACATCTAGATAAGGATCATGTTTTCACAGCTGCTAACCAAATACTTATGGCAGGAGTGTGGGAAATTTTTGGCCTGGTGAACCAAATAATTATCTCCCCACACTCCATGTGCCAATTTTTAAAAAGTAGGAAGAAGCCTATCAATCAACTGATGTCCTAATGACTTTCCACAGGTTTTCCTAGAGCAGACGTAAAGACAAAGGACCTGTAATTTCCTGAGTCCACTCTGGATCCCTTAAAAATGGTGTAAAATCAGTCACTTTCTAGTCTCCAGGCACTGGGACTGATCTTAGGAACAAGTTACATATTTTTAATAGATCAACAGTCCTCTGTGGTGGTGTACATGCATTTCTATCTAGGTAGGAACATGATCAGACATGAATAGGTCCTTAGTATAACTGGGAAATCCTGAGCAGTTCTTCCCATCTGCTGATGAGTGGCTGATGGTGACAACTCTGAAAAGCCCTGATGTATTCTTCCTTTGAATATGCAAAAAAAGCCCGAACCTTTTGATATACCTCCTCCTGGTTAGAAAACTATTACATGAAAGAAAGCAAAGTGATTGCCAGAAGAAATATGATTTTGCTCTACAGAGCATCACATAGAGAGGGTAATAGTGAAGGAAAATGAGAAAAGATAATAATCTTCATGAAGAAATACATCTGTCAGAGAGAAATAAGAGGGCAGGTCATGGACAGCTCTCAGCAGCTGCATGCCATCTGCATGCAGTAAATCGGTTTCTCTTTGATGGAACACACTCAGGAAGGTGAATGGTGATGAAAACTGCATAAAATGGGTTCTTACAGTCTGCATCAAAGGTGTGATCCAGGCGCTAGAATCAACCACATTTGTACATTAAAAATTTCAAGTACTTGTATGTGCAGTGTTGTGCATTGTTGTGTGTATGTGTATGGAAAGTATTCATGCTATACTACAACAGCAATTTCTGGCTAGCAATGTGGGCTTTCACCAGAAACCATATCCCCCAGGTTCAAAGATGACAATGGTAGGGCTGGCTTTTGATATAATCCCCGCAATCTGAACAACAGTAACCCTGGAGATATGCCCCCCCCCGTCAAAACAACAGTCCAAACATTTCATTACCTATATCTGTTTTCAAAGTGTTCTTGTTTTTAATTGTTTTTATTATGGTGAGATGAGTTTGACCAAACTGCGGGAGGCAGTGGAAGACAGAAGTGCCTGGCGTGCTCTGGTTCATGGGGTCACGAAGAGTCGGACACGACTAAACGACTAAACAACAACAACATTATGGTGGGTTGTTGTTGTTGTTTTTGTGTGTGTGTGTGTGTATATATATATATATATATATATATATATATGCTGTTTTTTATATTCAGTTACAGGTAGGTAGCTGTGTTGGTATGCCGTAGTTGAAACAAAATAAAAAATTCTTTCCAGTAGCAGCTTAGAGACCAACTAAGTTTGTTATTGGTATGAGCTTTTGTGTGCATCTGAAGAATCTGAAGGTATCTCAAGAAGTTTCCAACCTCATACCAATAACAAACTTAGTTGGTCTTTAAGGTGCTACTGGAAGGAACTTTTTTTATTTTGTTTATATTCAGTGTTACTTGTACGCCACTCAGAGACCTCCTTGATCAAGTGGTTTATAAATAAATGATTCATTTCCCCAGTGGCCCACCTCAGAGGCTGAAATATTTGACTGCATTTGATACTCCATTCCAAACTATAGAAGGATCTCACTTCATAACGTAAAACATTCCCTCCATTTTTATCGTCACAAACATATTTACAGTCAGCTGTTCTCTTTCCACCTCCAACATTTTGTGCCTTCAAAAAGCCCAAGTAGTGGAGCTTAGAAGAGCTTGCAGTGTGTGAATGTGAAGTGGCAGAAAGAGAGAAGGGAATAAGAGTGTCTTGATGCAGTTTTTCTGAGTTGTAGGTTGTGCTAAAACAACAACTTCTGGTATGTTGGTCAAAAGAGTAGGGGTTTTTTTGGGGGGGGGCTGAGAGCAATCTCAGAGACTTCAAAAGGTGGCAGCAGAAAGTAATCATAGATTGTAACATGTTTCTGTTTGCTGCTTCTCATGGAGTAACTGATTCCATTAGTGCATTTCTCCAAAGCAAGAATACACATGTGGAGAACTTAGCAATAAACATGGATGCAATGCATCAGAGGGGCTTCACATCTCCAAAGGCAAGGAGAGGCGGGCAAATTTCTCATGCATTTCATTTGGAGGAGGGCCTTGGGAATGGTTTATTTTAGCTGTGTTGAGCTCCAATAAGTTGTCCAATATTCCCACATTGTATGAAGAAGGAAAATACAAAAATGGCTCATGTAGCACTATCGTATTTGGTGACTAAATTGCAATTTAGTTTACACTAATAATAATCAGCATCAAACCAGAATATCAATACAGTGGTACCTCGGGTTAAGTACTTAATTCATTCCAGAGGTCCGTTCTTAACCTGAAACTGTTCTTAACCTGAAGCACCACTTTAGCTAATGGAGCCTCCTGCTGCTGCTGCGCCGCTGGAGCACGATTTCTGTTCTCATCCTGAAGCAAAGTTCTTAACCCGAGGTACTATTTCTGGGTTAGTGGAGTCTGTTACCTGAAGCATATGTAACCTGAAGCATATGTAACCCGAGGTACCACTGTACAGGCACATATAGCTCAGTTGGTAGCGCATGAGACTCTTAAACTTAAACTAAGGGTCATGGGTTTGTGCCCCACGTTGAGCAAAAGATTCCTGCATTGCAGGGGGTTTGGACTAGATGATCCCTTCCAGCTCTACAATTCAGTGAATCTATCCATCTAAGAGCCGAGTAGGCCAGGATTATTATTATCATCTAAGAAATTTAGACTGATAGAGAGCAACTTCCCAGTAAGATCATGCTTGAACTGAGATTTGAATTTTGCACTTTCTGGCTCTTTTCTCATGTAAGACAGACTTCAAGGATACATTTTAGCCAGGAACCAGGCACTTGAATAAAATATTGGAGGGGGCCAGTTAAGCCCCTCCCCGCATAATCGATCACATTACATGGCAAACACACACATTCTGAATGACAGTGCTCATCAACTGGGGGTGGGATGGATGACCCCCTGAAATATTTTATTGGGGGCGGCAAAGGGACCTCAGCCACTATGAGTTGGCTCCTATGTCTCCAAGGGTCAGACAGAGAAGCTTGAAGAGCCACACTGGGCCCCTGAGACTAAGCTGCCCTCCACCCCACTAACTCCCCAGAATCATTAGAATGAATATAGAATAAAGTATGGGTTATCTTCATCATAGTGTTAAAGCAAATATTCCATCAGTGCAATGATTTATTCTTGTACAGCAAAACATTTTCTCTGTCCCCTTCCCCCTAAATCTGTTCTGAGTTTTTTCCCAATGCCCCAAAGCACAATCCCATTATGTTAGTGCTAATCCTTGTCCTAGCCCAATACTTTAGTTGAATACTGCCCCAGGTCAATATTCCTTATACTTGAAATTAATTTAACATACACACAGAGAGACTATGGATTGGTAAAAAAAACCCAAACAATTGCAAATAAGGGCAGAGACTGGCTCTCTATTTTACAAATCCGAATGATTACTCCTCCATGATTTTCTTGCTCTGTTTTTGATCACACTCTGTGTGTTGCACTTCAAGCTTCCTTGCACGCTTCATAACAAGATATTGTGTCTCAAGAGGGTTTCGACTGATAGAACAGTAGCAGGAAAGATCAAAAGGGGGCTTCTCATTATTAATAGATCAAATGATTCTCCCTCTTTTGGGGGAAGGGAGTGCTCGTCATTATCCAAATACTTCCCCACCACCACCCTCTTATCCACTGGACCTGCCAAAATGTCCTTTCTTCAAAAAAAAGGGAGGGGAGAAGATTTTGCTCTACCAAGTAAATGCTCTGCCAAGTAAATGACACACACCCAGGGATTTAATTATTTTTATGTCACAGATCTCTCTCCCTGTCCCTCTCCCTCCCCTCCCTCTCCCTCTCCCCCTCTCTCTTTCTCTCTTTCTCTATGTCTCTCTCTTTGTATCTGTCTCTGTCTCTCTCTCACACACACTTGAATTCAAATGTATTTTGCTGCTGTGTTAAAGAATCTCTGGAGCCTCTGAATCTGAATAGCTGGTTTTAATTGCTTGGTTACTGGGATTGTTCTCTGCGTTCCATTTTACACTGGAATTCCACCTGGGCTGAAACACATTACTCTGGCAATATACAATGTAAACAAGGCTTTTTGGGTTTTTTAATGCAGCAAGGTCTGCAGAATTGAAATTGTGGGGCATTACTGTTGAGATTGCACACACACACACACAGAGAGAGAGACAGAGTCAAGGTCAACTGAACTGTGCTCCAGGGCTTAGTCACTACATTTGAGAGTTCTTTCTTTGAGAGCAGGCATCTCCAAGGTATTCCTAACGGCAATTAAAAATAGAATGCTAAAAAAAAAAGTCTGCACAATGCAGGGCTGTAAAGACCCTGGCTGTTCTTCCTTAGACCAGGTATGGGATTCCTTCAGTTTTGCATAAAAACATTGCAAGCATGCTCCTTCCTCCTGCAATGCACAACACAGGTCACATCCACACCATGCATTTAAAACATATTAAAAGCTTACCTCAAAGAATCATGGGAATTATAGATCACCCCCAACAAAGCTACAGTTCCCAGCACTGATAACAAATTATAATTCTTTGCAGGATGCTATGTGCTTTAAAGTATAGTTAAAGCCATGGTTTTCCCAGTAGTGATGTATGGAAGTGAGAGCTGGACCATAAAGAAGGCTGATCGCCGAAGAATTGATGCTTTTGAATTATGGTGCTGGAGGAGACTCTTGAGAGTCCCATGGACTGCAAGTAGATCAAACCTCTCCATTCTGAAGGAAATCAGCCCTGAGTGCTCACTGGAAGGACAGATCCTGAAGCTGAGGCTCCAATACTTTGGCCACCTCATGAGAAGAGAAGACACCCTGGAAAAGACCCTGATGTTGGGAAAGATGGAGGGCACAAGGAGAAGGGGACGACAGAGGACGAGATGGTTGGACAGTGTTCTCGAAGCTTCCAGCATGAGTTTGACCAAACTGTGGGAGGCAGTAGAAGACAGGAGTGCCTGGCGTGCTCTGGTCCATGGGGTCACGAAGAGTCGGACACGACTAAACAACAACATGTGCTTTAAAGCTATGGTGTGGATGTGACCATAGTGTTTTCCCTTTAGTGAAATTGTATATGACAGGAACCAATAGGAGATCCTTCCAATTCACACCACACTACATATGCAAAGTATTAATTGCCCTAAGCACCCATTTTTGATGGCTTCCTGCATATTTGTCTCATGCTGACCCAGACAAAGCAGTGGAACCAGTATTGCACTCCATTCCATGTGTCCATTAAGCCCCAACCTTGCCTCCCCATCCCAGTAAGTGGCAACAATGCTGCTGCTGGGAGGCTATTGGTACCCACCCCACTGGACAAGCAGCTCCTGGTTGCTTTGAAACACCCTACAGATAACCTGTGGCCTCTAGATGTTGCTCAACTACAACTTCCACCATCACTAACCATTGCCCAAGTTGAGGCTGATGGGAGTTGGAATTCAATACCATCAGGAGAGTTGCAGATTACCCACCTCTGCCCTATGGTATAATTTTCAGACTGCATGCACTAAGACAAGAAAACCAATGTGGTTCCCTTCAGAAGTTATTGTACTACAACTACCATCATCCCTGACTATGTTAGGGGGAACCAGTGGGAGTTGTAGTCCATCTGAAGGACATTATAATGGCTACCCTTACTCTCTGGCAAGCGGAGTCCAAAGAGGATGAGCAGATTCTGTCCTCCAGTGGAAAGAGCCTAGTGAGAGTCTGCTGGCAGCTCCCCAATTCCAAAGTCTGTTTCCCTGAAATCCACCAGCCAAAGGACTTGCCTGACAGGTTGTGCCAGAAATCCCCCAAGACAGGGGTGGTCAGCTTTTTTGACTCACGAGCCGCATTGCTCTTTTCCAACCTTCTGGGGACTGCATGCCAGAAATGGGCACGGCTACCCCACACTCTCACATGCATGGAACACACAGTGAGAGCTCTTCAGTGGATCAATGGATCAAATGTTCATTCCGATGACCAGAGTGAGAGGGGCAGATTAGACCCCCGAATTGGGGGTCAGTTATCAATAAGTTCTAGAGTTGTGTGTGGTGCCACATTCCACTTGTATGATCAGTACCCCCCAAGGGCTCTGGGAAAATTGGACAATATCATTAAAAATATTGGTAAGAGCACACTTTAGGTAAAGGTAAAGGTAAAGGACCCCTGACAGTTAAGTCCAGTCGCAGACAACTCTGGGGTTGCAGCGCTCATCTCACTTTACAGGCTGAGGGAACCACTGTTTGTCCCCAGACAGTTTTTCCGGGTCATGTGGCCAGCATGACTAAGCCACTTCTGGCAAAACTAGAGCAGCGCACAGAAATGCCGTTTACCTTCCTGCCCGAGTGGTACCTATTAATCTACTTGCATTTTTGGTGTGCTTTTGAACTGCTAGGCTGGCAGGAGCAGGGACCAAGCAATGGGAGCTCACCCCAT